AAAGAATGGGTCAAAGACTCTGGGACCCACAATTTCCACTGAAACTCTTGTGTTTCTGGGTTATAGGACTTGGGATCTCTTTTAAATACCATATTGTCGACAATCTTTAGATCGGGGAGATTCTCCTTTTTATTTGCAATAATTTCTCTAAGCTGTTTGTACGAATCACTTTCAAACTCGGTGGTCTCGAATTCAAAAACCCGATTCATGTCTATTTCGTCGGCATTGGGTAGGCGGGATAGCATATCGGCGACAACATTTTCCTTTCCTTTTCGGTGCTCGATTTTGAAGTTAAATCCCTGAAGTTGCAATGACCAGCGAGCTAAACGACCACTGAGGTCCTTTAGACTCATCAGCCATTGTAAACTAGCGTGATCTGTTATCACGGTGAATTCCATTAGCTCCACGTAAGGACGGAAAGTTTTGATAGCCATCACCGCCGCCAAGCATTCCTTCTCTGTCACGCTATAATTTCTCTGACACTTATTGAGCTTTTTCGAATAGAAAGCGATCGGATGCTCATGTCCTTCGGCATTCAGCTGAAATAGAACAGCGCCGATGCCATATTCCGAAGCATCACATTGAATAAAAAAGGGTTTGGAAAAATCTGCGTGGCGTAACACCGGTGCGGAAGTTAAGGCCCTCTTTAAGTTTTCAAATGCCTCCTTTGCCTTGTCCGTAATTACGAATTTGGGCGATTTCTTCAGGGTATCAGTAAGGGGAGCTGAAAGTGACGCGAAGTCTTTAATAAATCTTCGGTACCATCCTGCTGTACCCAGAAAACTTCTCACTTCCCTAGCACTTTTGGGAATTCTAATTTTTCGAATTGCTTCTACTTTTTCGGGGTCAGTACGCAACATGCCTTCTCCAATAATAAATCCCAAATATCTCAACTGACGAAAACAAAATTTTGACTTGGTTAACCCGATTGTTAAATTCGCTCGGTCAAGGCAATCGGCTACTTCATTCAATAGACGAAGATGCTCGTCGAAATCACTTGAAATAATCAACAGGTCGTCCAGGTACACAAAGACATTCTCCTTGAGTCGTTGGGGAATGACTTTGTCCATCAGTCGACATAACCTTTGTGCAGCATTACACAATCCAAACGGCATCACACGGAATTGATACAATGGACGGCCTGGGACCGTAAAAGCGGTGTACGGCTTGCTTTCTTCGTCTAATTCGATTTGCCAGAACGCATATTTAAGATCCACGCTGCTAATGTAATGAGTTTCATCAATGCGACTTAGTATTCCTTCAATGTTTTGCAGGGGATATGCGTCCTTGACCGTGAGCTTATTTAACTTTCGAGCATCCAGACAGAAACGATTTTTTCCGGGCTTTCGTACGATAGTTGTACGATTGCTCCAAGGGCTTTCACTTTCCTCAATAACATTAAGTGCTAACATATTATCGACTTCTTGGTACGTGATAGCTTGAACCGCTGGAGACATTGGATAGTGGCGGTCTTTAACCGGTTCCGCACCTTCCACGAGCTTAATCGAATGCTTTTCTAAACTAGTACAACCTAGCCCATTTTCTTCAAAGGTCTTGAATTTTTTTACTATGCATTTTAATCGATTCTCTTGATCATTTGTTAACTCGTGAGGGTTGAGTTTGTAGTCGGGACCCGTAGCAGTCATATCCCTGAAAACTTTTTCTATATTAATTTCAGCAGCTCCTATCACATCAGGGGCTAATTCGAATGTTCGCCAGAAGTCTATTCCAAGATATAGTTCTTGTTCCAATTGAGGACATAGATACAGTGTCATAAATTTTTCCTGCTCTTGGTATTTTATGATGGCTTTAATTTTCCCTAAAACATTATACTGTGTACCTCCGGCGGTGGTTACCCTGCTGGACATTGGTATAATTGGAATGCCAAGTTCTTCTATTATCTCTCGGCAATTTTTCCCTAACATAGTAACCGAAGCGCCGGTGTCTAGGAGCCCATTCATGATTTTTCCTTGCATACTGATTTCCGAGAAAACTCTGGGATCTGAGGCAATACCAGTCACTCTCGAAATAGTTTCTATCAAATATCTTCGCTGCTCACGCCACTTCTTGGATTTTTGTCTCAATTCAATAATTTTTTTCGGGATTACAGTAAACTCTGAGTTAAAAATTCTCTCCTTGACCTTAGCATAATTTCTTTGGCGATCTTCTAATGGAATGTAATGCCTCTGACCTGCAGAAAAATTTTTCGATTCTACACTACTCTTATCTCTAAATATATTATCGTTGTTTTTTATTAAAATTCGGACGTTTTTGGGTGCTAATTCTTCCGATTCACAGGGTTCTCTGACGGGTGTGTTTCCCCTGTTACTTCCACACCCCTTCGGGAGTTTCCCTGTTGACAGACAGGACACTTTGGGGTTACTGTGTCCGGCTTCCCACACCTATAGCAGAACAATTTCCGGACTTCTACTGGACAGTCCATAAAAACATGCCCCTTTTCTCGACAGTTCCAGCAGATAATTGGAACTCTAATGTGGCTTTGTATCCGGATAGCTGACAGCTCTTCACCAATATTCTCCTCCGGTACTTCTACATGCTTTTCATAAATTTCATCATATATTTCATTTACTTGGCGGATAGGTCGCTGGGGGAACGTTACAGCTCTATTTTCGCGCCTAGGGAAATTTCTCTCAGCTTCAATACATTCTATTCGTAGCTGTTCAACCGACGAAATGGTCATCTGATATACATGTCGTTTTATATCTTCACGTATATTTCCCCTTAGGATCTTAATCATTTCGTACTCGTAAATAGGTTGAAGTAATCTAGATCGCAAAATTCCCATCTCGTGAAAATAACTATTGATGCTTTCATTTGGCCTTTGTTTCCTTTCTAACAAATCCCTGAGTATGTCGAATTTGGATTGTGGGGTTTGATACTGGCTTATCAGCGCTTCTTTAAGACCCATCCAATCGGTGTAAACATTACTTTGTCTATGCAGCCAATACCATTCTCTGGCTTGACCAGAAACCAGAAAGGCGAAATCCCTCAACACTTCAGACCATGGAATGTTATATTGAGCCTGCATGATCTCTAACCGCTTAATAAAATCCATAACTCTTAAGCCTTTCGGGTCACCACTGAAATTTAAACCAAGTTTATCAACTCGTATTCCTAGTGGTTCCACTCTAAACGTATTCGTTATCGGGCCAGTAAATTGATCTGATAATGGAGTTTGACTAGCACTCGGAAATTGGATAATTGGTGGCATATTCCTATTTACTGCGTCATTATTATTGTTTGACGTCGGATTAGCATTACTATTTGTAATAGAATTAGAGGCTATTGTAGCCGTTGGGGGTACAATTAATTGTTTACGCACAGTGTCGGATAGTTCTCTCATGCCTTTTGATAAAGAATCTATCATTTTCTTCATATCAGATATTTCTGTTTCGACCATTTTTTTAACTTTATCTTCCAATGACTTCTGGACAGACGCTGCTTCATCTTGTACTAGTCCATGTAAGTCGGAAGTAGTTGGACCATTATTATTCAAATTATCACTCACTGTTGGCACATGATTGGTGTTCTGATCTCTTCGCATTATCGTGTCTGCTAGATCGATAAATTGCAAAGCACTCATGTTCCTATCCTCATTCGCCATTTCGTCCGACCCTATTCGTCTTTGCTTACTCTGCTCTGGAAAATAAGTCGATCGGTTTAGGTCAAAATTTTCGGGTCTGTCTCTCTTATTTCTTTTACTATTGCGGGTATTGTAGATCATGACCTATACCCAAAATTTATCTTCTCATTTGTTATCAATTGAATCTCGGACGAAACCTTTTCTTGTAAGTAAGTTTTAAATTCAGTTAACCTTTTTTTTTTTAAATATGAAACATTTGCAACACAAATACTTTTTATAAATACATTCAATTACAATTACACATACAAATTTTCAAATTTGATAATTACAACATAGATCTACGGGGGAAGTGTAATTTTCAGAAGCAGTGTGTGTGTGGTTTTTTTTTATTTATTTATTTTTTTATTATTATTATTATTTTTTTTTTTTTTTTTTTTTTTTTTTTTTTTAATAATAATTTTAGTGCCCTTTATGAGGTGTATGACTTTTCCCTTAGACATTCTTATACTTCTCATAAATTATAGTGCTTTGTTAACTTCGGACCCATGACATATCTATTACATTTCATAAATGAAAGCTCAGGGTTTTTATATGCAATACTAAGATTTTTGCATCTCTCAGATCAAAATCGCTATTGCTGCTACTCGATGTACTTATTCCTGTCTATAATTTATTTGGGTTATTTCACAAAAACAAATTTTAACAGTAGGATTCTCAATACAAATTGTTTTATTCCAGCTCGGAATTACAAGCTATTGATTACACCCTACTTAGAACAGTGGAGAAAACGTTCCCATAATATATTTGATATAGTAATATCGCACTTCGTAACCCATCTCTCTAAAGTTCGGATGCATACTAATATCACAGAATATTATTTGTCAAAAACATTTTCTTTTGTCTATTTAAAATCTACTAGCATTCTATGGCTGTGTGCGTCGATGTCACTGCACAGAGTTACTAACCTAATATCACAGTTTAACACGGCCATGTTTGAGTCGCCATTTTTTTACAGTGGTATCAGGTACAATAAAGCTTTTTTTAGAATATTGGGCGCCATCTCTGTTATGTGTGCATTTGCTCGGCATACGATTAGGCCATCCGACTGTCACAGAGACTTCCAGGGCTAGGGATCTCAACCCGCCAATCGAATCCAACACACTAACATTGAAAGGGGACTTTACTACAATTGCTCTACTCTACGATATACAAAATAGGAGTCATCATACAGGGATCTCGGTGGATCGATCCCACACTCGCCCACCCTACCTGGATCCAGTATTTCCATTTCTTGCGTTTCTCTGAATCCCCTTGAACCACACGCTTCGAATCACACACTTACTTCATACCACCTTCCCCCCCAAGTTATACAAATTTAGCAACACATATTAGTATCTACTGTTTACAAAAGAATCATTTTTAATTTTATTAAAAAAAATAAGTTAGCTTTAAATATTTTCTTAATTTTTTTCTCTACTATTTTTTTTCTTACACTAAAATTGACAAACTGTATGGTATAAAAAAAACAAATTAAGAATAATACCGGGCTTTCTTAAATCTATGGCTTTAATTACTCGGTAGAAACCAATATATTATCCTTTGCCTTGCTTTTCCCGCGCAATATTCACGCGTCTATACGAAATTACTAGCCACCTAAAAGAGCTCTCTTAACCGGCCTAATTGCCGCTAAAATTCCACGGCCTAAACTATCAGATCGAATCACAAGGACTCAAGATAATTTTACTGTAACACCTCCTAGCCTTTGAAAATAAACGCGGTATTTTTCCCTTACAAACTGATTATTACTTAAATCCTAAGAACTATAACCTATCTTATTACTAAATCTTTATACTGAATATTATATTTTTTTTCTCGAAATTTATGATTATTAACTCTTTTTTTCTTTTCTTTTAGTTCCAAAAAAGGAGACAGCAAATTTTATGGACGTCACATATATATATAAATATATCTATCAAGGACAACACAACGGTAAGACACCTTTTACCTGAGCAGTGATTTATAACGTTATTGATTAATTCTTCTTATCTCTTCTTCCAGTTTACGCTTCTTTCCGGAGGAAACAGATTTTGAACGCCAGACAAACCCTCAAATGAAGCTGGACTTGTTGACTGGTCCTTTTACAATGCCGGCGTTCTGGGCGGGATCAATAACAGGCACAGCAAAAAGCTCAAAGTTGCAGCTGGCCAGTTTACAATTCAAATCTCCACACCCTCAATGTAACTTTTTTTGGCTTTTTTTTTCCTGTGGACAACTTGCCACTACCTTGCGTTACCAAAAAGAAAAGGCAATTTCCCGCCGTTGTGCTGACCAAAACCGGACAATTTTCGGTGCTTCCAAAAAAGCTTGATACACCACCGGAATATTCCTGTTGGAGCAACACACATCACATATAACAACACATTACTCAACAAACAACTGTTACAAACTACTTACACAATAAAAAAATCGCAACACACAAATTAAATTTTTCCACTTCTTCACTGCTCTCTAGCTAAGTTTCACCGGTAACGTCTTATTCTTAACTTTGGCTTTTCTTATGCTCGCAGCCTTTTATACCCCTCTTCTCAGTGAATCCCGCCAGACGCTCATTTTCCACGAAACACCATTTTCCTGAGCCATTTTCAATTTTCATTCCTTTTTCTTTTCAACTGTCAATAGCCATTTTTTATTCTATTGTGAATTCTCATTTCAGCTCACCCCGGAGTAGTAGTAGGTTCCCACCTACTCAGCAATCATAGGGCTGCCTAGTCACTTCTTAGCCTGAGTCACCCTGTCATTCACTACCTTTATAATACTCTTTAACTCAACCCTGTTCGAGCCTAATTTCGTACGTAGCGAACCCTATCAAACCATTTCCGGCATTTTGATCCCATCGCCACCCAGACTACACACCCCGCAGAAATTACAAGCAAATTGAAATCTCGAAGCATCCTCACCATCCTCACTAAAAACCCAAGAAAACTGAGCAAATCCATTTGAGGACCAATTATGGGATGCACTACCAACAGAATTGGGATAATTTCTGCGGTGGTTGTGGACAGGTTTTGCCAAAAAACCCGGCCCCATATATTTGTTGCCTTTTTGCGCCGAATGTGAACGGCCTGCAACAACTTCCCCATTATAGTAAAATGTTTTGAACGTACGTATTACAGAAATACGCCAGTTCCACATCATAATACCTACCATGGTACAATAAATTCAAGGTAGGGCAGAACTACCATATGATTTCAATTTTTTTATTTTTCTGGCTTAATATGTCAACTTCATTTGTTTATGTGTGCATATTCTTTTCAATAATAAAAAAATTGTTCAGAAAATATTCAAATTCGGGTGTTTTCAAAATGCTTATTGCAACATATGCATCGACAAAGTCTACAGTTTATGTCGCGAAATAAACCATAAGAGATATATATAACATGATTTTGAAAAGAAATGTTGACCTTTCATTCAGTTTTCGCGGTTTTCAATTATTTGTTCAAAATTAATGCAACAAGTTGTTTGATTTTTTATTGTTTTGATACTAATTCTGACATTACAAGCCAAACAGGTAGACCTCTATACTTGCATTTTTTTAAAGTTGACCTACCTTCTCTTCATTGTACCATGATACCTACCATGGCACAATTACAGAATGTGGAACAAAGCTACCGCCCAAATACAATGTTTTTCTTTTGGTGCCCCTATTCTGCCAAAACATATACACATTTTGTGTGTTGTTTTCAATTAAAAATACAATAATATGAAATTATTTCAAATGTGATTGCAAAATAAACGCAAATTTTCGACGTTGATGTGCAACAAATTGAACAAATTTAGTATAAAGCAATTTGGTTCTACTATATTAGATTCAATTTTGTGGAATAACCCCAATATTCCATTTATGTTTTGTGGTTTTTCAACAATATAAGAATTTTCTTAAAAAATGCAAAATAAACAAAACCGATTGTTGAATATATATGTAGGTAATTTGTAGGCAAGATAAGAGAATACAGATAGGTATGTGCGTCTTCTTTTTATACTTCCTTGTGAATCGATATGCACAAGTGCTTAAAATAATGACAACATTTACCCATTTTGTGACGAAATGAATATTTAAAGATGTATAGAATATGATTTTAAAAAGAAATGCTAAACTACCATACATATTGCCTGTCCCAGAATGACAAGAATGTAAAACTTTTTACTGCGATATCCGATTTTCCCTTTATGATATCGAAAAATATTTTAAATCTAGTAGACATCTTTCTGGTTGTATTAAAGACGCGCGCATCTGGTTGCATTCTACTAACAGTAACAGGTGTAAAACGCCGAATGCGTCGAGCCTTAGAACCTGAAAGAATCTTCTAGATTTGCAGTTTTCTCCGATATCATAAAGGGGATCGTTTATCGTAGTTAAAACTTTTACATTCTTGCAGTTCTGGAACAGGCCAAATAAAAACACCAATGTTTTTAGTATTAATTTGAACTACTCTTTTCTATTCAATATATCCATGGCATAATTACAGAAGATAGAACAAAACTACACCCTAAATACAATTTTTGTGCCCTTTTTCTGTCAAAACATATACACATTTTGTATATGTGTTTGTATTGTTTTGAATAAAAAAATACAATATTTTGAAATTATTTCAAATTTAGTTGCAAAATGAATGCAGTTTTCGAAGATATAGACAACGAAAAGTTAGTTTTGTCTTTTTATCCAGGTGGCTCTCATCATGTTTTGCATAGTCAACGTGTTGGTTTACGTGTTCCACCCACTCGACATCGAAAACACATTTTATCGTTTTTTAAGAATTTCACTTGATTATTCCCGAATTTTTCGATGTCATCGCGTACTTTTTACATTTCTTTTATTGTGGAATAAGTTTCAACTGACAAATATCCTACAGTTTTTGTTATTTTTAACATTTTAGAATTGGGTGACTTCAAAATTCCCACTCAAACCCCTGAAACGATATAGACGACATCTGCTGATCCGATTTTTTCGAAGATAAACGGTGAGAGCATTTCGTTGTCTATGTAATAAGACTCCAGCAGAGAGTTGCATTTTTCTAGTTTCTTTGAAGTTAAACAACATTTCTTTTTGAGCCATGAATATACCTACCTATGCAGAACGATATTTGCCTTGCAAACAATATTGCGTGTTGTCTTTCCGAATGACGGCGAAAACAAGTGGCAACTAATTACTTACTAAGGTTGCAACCAAGGTAGATTTAACAGATAACCGCATCGGCGAATTGCTACAACAAAGCAACTAAGGCGAAAAACATACATTCGGCATGACATTTAAAGTTTGCGGCAAACTTGCTTCAATTAATGAGAAACGAAGTGTTTGTTTACATTTTATGTTATGTGTGGAAATCAAGCCATGTAATACTACGACTCTCGGGGACCCAAAGTAGATGTACTAGGTAATCGCATCAGCCCAGCTGACGGCACCATTAAATGTCAAAACAAATTGTTGTAATGAAGAATTCGCCCTAAATGAATGCAACAATAAATTTCCCTAAAAGTACCTTTTTATAATATTTCAAATAATTTAAGAGCAAGTTAAGAGTGAAACCAGTAAAAAAATTAAAAGAAAATGAAGGAAGGAGGTTAGAATGGAGTGTAGCTTTAAGAATTAAGTTAGCCTCAACATCTAAGATTCCCAAAGCACATCACGGGAAGTAGTGCAAGAATTCGACTTTTGCCATTGGCAGTTCCGGAAAACTTTCGGTTTAAACCAGTAAAATATAGTCATTATAAGTTGCTTGGTTTAAAAAATATCGCAATACTACAATTAATACTTATTTTACTCTTATTTGTTTTACAATAAAAACTTATATTGCGACGTTCGTTTACGACGAGAGGAACACAAAATAAAATGTAAACAAACACCTCGTTTCTGATTGGTTGAAACAAATTTGCCGCAACCTTTAAATGTCATGGCGAATCTATGTTTTTCGCCTTAGATGCCAATTTTGACATTTGAGGGTACCACAAAAGTTGCTTTGTTGTAGCATTTCGCCGATGCGGTTACCTGTTAGTTCTACCTTGCGGGGACCATTGTAACAGTCCCAAGTTGATAGTAAGCCCCCGAAATATTTATACAACCCCACAACTGTAATATCTTCTACGTCATCGACAAATACCACTAATATTTCAGCAAATGTTGGCAACCGGAGGTTACACCAACAACAACACATGGCACAACAGAAGCAAGTGTTGCCGATCAAATGGTTTTAAAGAAAGAACTTAGCACCAATATCGCCACCAGTAAAAGCCCTCTTGGTAGCAGAGCCGACGCAAATTCCCCAAACCTCACAAAGAGTTTTCACAGACCACAGAGAGAGGGAAGAGCTGGGGCTAGTAGAAGTTTGGATAAGACCAACTGAGTCATAGCTCTCGTGAATGCAAAATAAACAAAACCGATTGTTGAATATATATGTAGATAATTTGTAGGCAAGATAAAGAGAATACAGATAGGTATGTGCGTCTTCTTTTTATACTTCCTTGTGAATCGATATGCACAAGTGCTTGAAATAATGACAACATTTACCCATTTTGTGACGAAATGAATATTTAAAGATGTATAGAATATGATTTTAAAAAGAAATGCTAAACTACCATACATATTGTCTGTCCCAGAATGACAAGAATGTAAAACTTTTTACTGCGATATCCGATTTTCCCTTTATGATATCGAAAAATATTTTAAATCTAGTAGACATCTTTCTGGTTGTATTAAAGACGTGCGCATCTGGTTGCATTCTACTAACAGTAACAGGTGTAAAACGCCGAATGCGTCGAGCCTTAGAACCTGAAAGAATCTTCTAGATTTGCAGTTTTCTCCGATATCATAAAGGGGATCGTTTATCGTAGTTAAAACTTTTACATTCTTGCAGTTCTGGAACAGGCCAAATAAAAACACCAATGTTTTTAGTATTAATTTGAACTACTCTTTTCTATTCAATATATCCATGGCATAATTACAGAAGATAGAACAAAACTACACCCTAAATACAATTTTTGTGCCCTTTTTCTGTCAAAACATATACACATTTTGTGTATGTGTTTGTATTGTTTTGAATCAAAAAATACAATATTTTGAAATTATTTCAAATTTAGTTGCAAAATGAATGCAGTTTTCGAAGATATAGACAACGAAAAGTTAGTTTTGTCTTTTTATCCAGGTGGCTCTCATCATGTTTTGCATAGTCAACGTGTTGGTTTACGTGTTCCACCCACTCGACATCGAAAACACATTTTATCGTTTTTTAAGAATTTCACTTGATTATTCCCGAATTTTTCGATGTCATCACGTACTTTTCACATTTCTTTTATTGTGGAATAAGTTTCAACTGACAAATATCATACAGTTTTTGTTATTTTTAACATTTTAGAATTGGGTGACTTCAAAATTCCCACTCAAACCCCTGAAACGATATAGACGACATCTGCTGATCCGATTTTTTCGAAGATAAACTGTGAGAGCATTTCGCTGTCTATGTAATAAGACTCCAGCAGAGAGTTGCATTTTTCTAGTTTCTTTGAAGTTAAACAACATTTCTTTTTGAGCCATGAATATACCTACCTATGCAGAACGATATTTGCCTTGCAAACAATATTGCGTGTTGTCTTTCCGAATGACGGCGAAAACAAGTGGCAACTAATTACTTACTAAGGTTGCAACCAAGGTAGATTTAACAG